CTCAAAAAGTTTAACTGGAGTTCAAGTTGCTAAAAAGTGATTGTCATTGCTGATACTAAATTAGAAGTAATCAGACCAGGTTCAGAAGAGTAAACAAAAAAGCATAAATGACCTAGCTCACATGGATATTCAGCTATTCCAGATGCCTGGGAAATATCCCTTGCAATTCAAGGCAGAAGATGGATGTTAGATGGCAAAATAATTTGATGATATTTTAGCTAAGTTTTTTTTAGAATTGTGATTGACTTTAATAAATTCTCATTAAATTTTTCATGAGTTCTAAAATATACAAATTCCCCAACTAGGAGGAATTTGGGTTGTATTTTATTTTTTTCCCTCAAGATAGCTGACATAATTATTCTATTACTCTGACATTCACTGCTATGGGAATGTAAAACTACTTTTACTCCAGTTAGAAAGTGTTTCATATTCCACTTTTTGGGACACAAGAGTATAAATCTTTTTTCATTTTCCATCATCAGGCAGTTGAATAGAAAACATTACTGACTGACGTTTATATTAATGAGGCTAAATAAAAACACAGATGGCTTCTACTAAGTGAAGGAACTGAAAGTAATGATGTGCTATCTTAAGCCACTGTCCTGCAAAATCAGGGACCAGGATAAACAGAAATCTGATTATTCTAGCTGAGCAAGAAAGCCCAGATAAACACAGCCTCTCTCTGCCTGAATTCTTGTCTGTGCTAAAAAAAAGAAAAATAAAAAGATTCTTTTTAAAGAAGAACTGTCAATAGTTTGAAGTAGTACTCAAATTTTTCTACACAAAACAGTGATTCAGCCCCACTTTGGAAGACAGTCTTGAGATAAAACTTTTTTAAAAAATGAGTGCAATAGGTTGATTCAAAGAACCCAGAGCTGTGAAATGAAATTTCAGGTGTAGGCCTTTCAGTGGCCCAAAGAATGACAAAACAAGACCAAGGATGAAATATCCTTGTGTCATGTTTTTTGCCCTAGCCAATCAATATGGTATTCAAAATGAACCAGCGGGACCTGAAAATATTGCAGCCTGATATGTGTTTCTCTCATACACTAGATTGCCTTAAAAAAAAGTAACCCAACAAAAAAGTTTGTATACATTTATGAAGGTTCAATAGGTTCAGACATATCCATTTTGAAATGAACATGATTAATCAGAATTTTAACATAAAAAAACAATTATAATAGTATAACAAAATTAAAGAAGTTTTCATTTGTTTATAAACTCCCATGTATGCAAAATGGTTGAAAATTTACATTAAAATGCATCTGATTATTACTAATATTAGCTGTAATTATGCAAAAGATGAATACTTTCTCCCTTAGCTCAGAGTTTTGACATTGAGAATAGTCTATTATACCATATGAACAACTTAGTTCATCCACGTGTTGCTTAACACTATAATTTAGGAATGACAAATACAAAAGCCTAAATTATTCTCTTAATAAGGAACTTTTTGCAAAACCTTTAGTAGTTTTACCAGTTTCTGGGTGTGTTCGTGTTGGCTATGTGTGTAGCTCTGGTTTTGTTGTTGCTAAAGTTTTTTCTTCTGCAAGATCTCTCTTTTTAGAGTACTGAAAAGACCTCTGAAAAAAGGTTTATTTAAAAGGAAAAGAAAGTATGGCAAAAGAATTACGTTTGTTTCTGAAACCACAGTTCCCACTGGACTTTTGTCCTGGTGGATGGATTTCCAACTGTTGCAGTACCAAGGTGTGGGATCTCAGCCTCTCAGAACTGGGGTGCAGGGTGAACAAGACCACCCCTGGGGGGCTCGGGAGTCCTGGAATGTTGCCAGAAATGTCTGGTGGCTAGACTTTGATCCCACATGGGAGATGACATCAGTATGAGGATAGGAGGATTTCACCGGGGTGAATGGTGAAGGGATAAGTTAATTGGAGTGTGAGATACAGGGTTTAAGATCCCTGTACAGGGGGGTCTAGAGAGGCAAGATGGAGGAATTGGGGCGTGCCCTTCTCCTTCTTCTTCTTCCTCTAGGCCTCCATCTTCTGTGGTGATGTTGGCACTCTGGGATTGGACCTTACTAGGGGAACACTGGTTAATAAGGGTAGAGGGTATTGGAGAAAAATGATAAATATTGTATACGTAACTCCAAGTATAAAGATAGGTGACCGCCCCAGGGGCTCTCAGTGTGTGCCCATGGCTGACTGCTGAGCAGAACTCTGTCAGGCCAAGAGAAAATCTTTTAGATAAGCATTTAATAAACACCGAGACCGAGAACAGATCTGAAGTCCCTTCTCGTCCTTTGGAGCGCGGGCGGCCCAAGGCCATCTTCGGGCTTTTCCAGACCATCTAAACAGCCCAAAATCCGACACCAAGGAGTCAAAGAAATTATTGAACTGAAAAGTTGTCAAAATTGCAAATTATTAGTCTATCCCTTAGGATTTTTAGATATAATTTCTTTTTATAGGACTTAGTCCAAACTAGATTTTAAATGCCTTAGGTGCAGAACTCTTTCCATTTGCACAAACTAATAGATATTCATTTTAGCATTTTTCATTATATCCTAACTGATCTTTTTTTCAACTTCATCCAGTTATCTGTTTTTATACATCCTGGAGACATAGTGCATAATTTCTTTCCCTGTTTCTCCAGGTACCATTCAAATAACAATAAACAGTTGCAGCTTCAATTTAGCCAAATTTACTTTTTATTTTTTGAATCTTGGCACACACCCACACGTTTAACATCATGTCTCTTTATTCTCCATTAAGATCTCAAATGCAAAAGAGGCAGATGAGAGACACATCGGGGGCAGGTGGGGGCTCTCAAAGATTGCTGATATTCAAGAAACAACTGCGTTGTCTCTGGATGGAAAAAGCCTCCTCTGCAGGTTTGCAGTTAGGAAGAACGTCCTGCTCTCGACAAGTGAGATGAGTGGCAACAAAAACCTCATCTCCCCTGAGCGTTCAGCTGCTTGAGACAGCAACAGCTTCCAAATGAGTCTTTGCTATGGATCATTTTCTTCAAGTTCTTTAAAGAGAGATTAGCCAAAATTTTTCTTCTGATCCTTCTGTTGTTCATAAATAAATGTTTCAAGTTGTCACTACCTAAGCTGATTCCAGGTGGTTTAGGTGATAATTTCTGTATTGGAGTCCTGTCTATGCTACTCTGTTATACTCTGGAGTGGAATCCTCTCTCTGTTGCTCTCTTATACGATCTCAAAAGCCATAATTCTGTTTTATGAGTTGGCAGGAACCCCTCCCAGTGCACACCTATGGACAATAGATCTCAAAATGGCATGCCTTATCCATGTCTGCATAATAAAAGACTGTCCAAGTAATAATGTGGAATGTGAAGTTCTTCCTCTTTCTTATTGGTGATCAAGGAGGCAGCAGTGCTGTTTTGCACTTGTCAGATGAATTATATTCTCATTTTGGCCAATATTCCTAGAAACTCTTGACTACTTGCAGATCTTCTATTGAAATCTATGGAGGGGGGTAAAGGAAAGAATCAAGGAAGAAAAAGGATATAGCTATTCCATCTGAAGTCTGGAATAATTTATGCTGCTGTACTAGTTTACCAGCATTGATCTTTGTGTAGAAATTCTCCTTACATCAGTAGAAAAGGAATGAGAATAAAACATGGTCCATGAAATTGTATTTTACATCAGAGTTTTTAGACAGACTAACTTGCAGATTTTGCTATTAATATCTTTTCAACCAGAATGCACAAACCTTTGAAAAAACAAGTAAAGAAATCTAAAGAAAAGGACTTATGGCACAGGGGAAGGAAATGGCAAAAGCCCACAGGCCCATGTTAAATGAGAGATAAAAATTTAACTCTCTTTTCAGAGTGGATATGCATAGTTGTAACAAAATTTTGTCTATTTTCTTTGAATTTACAGCAGATACATATACCTGGCTATCAGATTATTTGCTACAGAAATTCTCCATACTGTTCCTGTTTGAACCCTTTATACATCTTTAGCCAGTGAAAAACAGTATCATGGACTTGAAAGAAAATATTACTGTGCTGGTTAGTTTTATAAGTATTTTCCTTGAATTAATGAAAGAAAACCAGAAAGAAGAACAACACAGAGCCTGTAGACCTGCCATCTTCTATGATGCTACCGGAATAATTAAGGAAGAATTTTGGGTCTGCTAATTTTAGGCAGTATTCTAAAGAACATTGTTCAACCTAATACAACAATTTAGCTGAAAAAACAGTGACATAATTGACAAAATTGCATAATAATTACAGTGCTTTAGAGTCAGCTATACTAAAGCATGACTCATCACTCAATACATAAGAAGCCACAGAACTACGTCACATCCAGCAGTGCAGTTGCAGTGCAGTACAGTGGAGCTGCAGCCAAAGAAGAAATTTAAAATCACCAATCTTCTGTTAACAAGTGGAGGAACAGGGGATTTAATGGAAAGTATGACTATGATTTTTGTTTTACTGTAATGAATTAGACAGTGACAAGGAATATTTGAACAATTGCAATTAAGATTTACAGCCTTTTAAGAAAAATATTTAATACATGTTACTATTTGAACCTCACACATCCTCTGGTAATACTTGTAATAGTTTACTTTATTGAGGAAGGAGAACTATTCCACTTCTCAGCTGGAGAAATGGTTGGTGAAGTGGAAAAGCGATGATGGAATTTTCTGAGATAATTACATTTTTTATTAGAATACTTTATCAATGATCTTCTTGAAAGAAAAGCTGTACAGTGTAACAGCCAAGCATAAAACACTAAACTTCCCAGGAAACATTTTGAATGACCTTCTGTAATAGCATTCACTTGAAAATAATACTCTTAAAAACTGCAGAATCTGAAAATCTTTCCCTTGAATAAGCCTTACTTGTTATGCAAAAAATACATATGAATTTTATCAATTTCCTATTTATTAATACCTTCCTTGACAACAAACTAAGCCCCAGCTAAAGATAATATTCAACAGCAAGATTATACATCATTATATAAGCTATAATGATAAGCTTTTTCTATTAAAAATGTGATGGTTTGGACTTACCAGGTGTAAAATTATACCGAGCAGAAAACCCAATAGATTCCAGTTCAGCATCAGCAAAAAATTTAATCCACAGGAATCTGCCACTGGATTTTATCATAGGTGGATTTTGTTGTCCACAGAAACGTCCAAGGATTGGGGAAAAGCCAAAAGGTCCATCTCGTACTTCTATGTGGTCAAATTTACACTCCCAAGAAGGCTCTATGGAATATTTTTCATCAAAGTGTAGTTCAATGCATTGTCTAGGAGCAGCTAGAGACAAAAAAAGAAAATTATCTTATTATTTTCTAACCCAAGACCCTTTCAAAACTAAAGCAAAACTGAAGAAAATCAAATTTATCATTTTGTATGGATTGCAAAATTTTGTTTAAAAACACGTACAAAAATTGGAACATCATTTTTTTATTAAAAATTAGTACATCTATATTTTTTATAGATTTCACACTGTCAGATTATTTGTCTGCTGTTCTCCTTTTAAAAAAAGTAGTTTTGACAGCAGTGCTTAGTAAAGCTAAGAGAGAAATATCCATGATGAACAGAAAAATATAGCCAGGAACAATTTCTTCAAATATAAAATATAAAATGTTTCTAAGAAACGTACATATTTAGAAGAATTTATTTTTTCTCTTATATTTTGGGGAAGGGTGTTAATCAGAATACTTTTTTTTTGTACCTAGTACTGAGAAAGATGATGAAGAAAAGGCTGATCAGAACTGTGCTACCATAAGGACAGATTATCTTCCTACATGTATTGCAGTCAATGACAAACTGGAATGTAATTGCTTATACTCAGAATTACTTCTCATTGGAAACATAAGAACAAATGCAGTGAATTCTCACTTAAGAAAGAAGGATAAGGATCCTGGATAAGGATGATATTAGAAGAGCAAATGATATACTGAAAAACTTGAAGTAAGTTCACAGTGATAATTTAATTAGACATTTTAAAAAAAATCCATCTTTAATGATAGGTCTTAAGTCTTGAGATGTTTGGAATTATTTCTAAAACAAATATTTCCTGGGATCTCCTGTATAAAGCAAAAAAATAATTAACAGATTGAAATATAGTATATTCTTACAAGGAGGGGAAAAATCATGGTTTGATTGATACATTTTATCAGAGGCAACCTTTTAGAGGTGCACTGTTTTCTACCCTCAATCCTGGCCATATCAAACACTGTGTGCCTTCAGTGTCTAGAGCATGATGCATTGGAGCCTTTTGCTGACAAAGCCTTCTGCTAAGACAAGGATTTGTTGTGTCAGTGCCTGCTGTGCCTCTCCTGGGATCATGTCCTACACTTTACACATATCAAAAGAGGTTTGCATTACCATGAGCTTTGCCACAGTTACCATTCTTTTCACATGAAAATATGCAAGATCAAACTGCATGCCGAGTTATTAGCATGGAAACTGCTTAGCATGGAAACTGATGCCACTCCAGGAGTCAGTATGTCTACATTATTTCCTCAAGAATAATAAGAAAACTGTCAGTGTTACAAGAACAAAGATCTTGTTTGGATTCTGAAATGTTTTAAAATTTTAAGCTTTTGATATGAACTCATTACTCACATAAGAAGAGAGATTATTTAAAATTAACTGAGTAAGAAGATATCAGGTAAATTTTGAAATCTTTACATAAGAGCACATAGTCAGATCCCTCTTACAACTATTTCATGTAGATGAATACAGCCTCATTTTATAAGAAACATTTAAGAAGTGAGTTAATAAAATATCTTATTTGAAAAAGAAAATTATTTTAACAGCTTTACTTACAATGTCAATATAATTGACGATTGATATTTACTGAAACATTTAATTTAACATAAGAAAGAAATCTTTTTTACTGTTCTCAATCTGAAGACATTCACATTCAGGGAAATAGTAGTGACTTGTCATTATTTATACCGATTTATGGGAAATTTGTGAACTTCATGCCCATACAAATTCAATAGAAGAAGCAGAGGTCTGTGTTTTACATATAATTGCACGAAATTCACAGTCTATGGAAAAGAAGCTACTTTGAAAATACAAAAAAATTTACAAAAGTAAGGTCAGATAATAAAGCTTGTGAAGGAGATCATAATGATGTTATCCTTGGTGAGGTTTGAAAACCAAAGTAAATCTTTTTATATTCTAGTAAAAGATTAAATTCCTGGAAGATATCATAGTTAATATTATTCAGAAGTTTCTATCCTTGAATTTACACATTTTAAAAATTATTGATTCAAACTCAACTAAGCACTACGAGGACAGAAGAGAGCAATCAGTGACTTTCAATTTGGGATCATATTCTGCATTCTTTATTCCATTTAAGGAGATTTGTTGAGAGCTGTTCATCATCCACCTAAGGACTACAGAGTCAAGTATCAAAAACTTTCCTGAAAACACTTTAAGTAATCTTAAAAATGCTCATCATGGCTTGAAAATCTCACACATTCATGACTCCAATGTTATGCCATTAACCTGTCTAGAGCTTTATTATTATGTTTTAATGTCACAAACTAGATATGAAGATCGATTCTCCTACTACTGACTGCCAGCTACGCTGACATACAGCAACACAGCTGCTGTGCTTCCCATAGACACAAAGTGATTGCTTCAAAAATGGCTCATGCCATTATCATAACACATTTGTCCTTTAAAATCTTTCTTTTCTGCTGCCTTGTTTGATACCAAGAAGAAGATTACAAGTGCTGGCCCATAGTTAAATCCTTAACAAGTCTTCTCTGTATCCAAGACTCATGTAATGTCAAAAAAGGCCACAAGGCCCCCTTAGAGTTCAGTCATTTGACATCATTTTTGGTGTTGAAAAGGAACCCTAGACCCAACTATAGGTTTGGTCTAGGAGGCTCTGAAGTAAAGGGAAAGATTGTGGATAAATAAAAATCAGGCCTACTGAGTTGCATATGAGAGCTATTGGCTATGTGAATGAATGACCTGAGATAAAACAACATTTCCACAACCCTAATCTCCATGTCTCTCTCTGAATCTCACACTGCCAACCAGTTTTATGACCAGAATATTGCTATAGCTCACACTATTCTGCTTTTATTAGTTTTTTGACAAAATCAAGATGAGGCTTTTCCTAGTGAAGCTCAGATCTTGCTATAGGATCAGAGAGAATCACATCAGCTCAAGGAGAGCTCAAGTTTCCACTTTTCCCTGAAGGCCCTGTGAGTAGAGGCTACTTCACTTTAAGAATGGAGCATTGAATATTCATTAGCAGCACTTCTCCACTGGGGATAAAACAAGGCTGGAGATTGAGTTTGAGGGCTGGACCACTGCCTGATCACATCCTTAAATGTAAAGTCATGTTCTGGCTTCATTTTGGCCATGCCATTAAGAGCAGTTCAGCAACTCCAGGGTGCAGCACAAGCATCCATGGCCTTTTCATAAGGTGCTTTTAAAAGCACTTCTGTTTTTCTTCTTGTGCTTCATATTTAGTTAATGGTTAAATGTTTTGTTTGCAATAATCTACGTAAGACACAAATTTAATCAAAACTTCCTCGATATGACCATAAGTGATGAAAACACATAATTCAAATTCTCAACTTTAAGTTCCTTTAAGTAAAAATGATATAATCTCACACTTATGCTCTGGCTTTAATGAGTTGTTTCTTTACCCAGCACAAGGTAGAAGAAGCAGCTATTGTTTAAACACACATCTTGTGCCACACCTTTTGCAACAAAGTGTGTGTAAATGAGGTCACAGAAATAAACTGGGGACAAGTGCAGAATAGTCACTAATAATAGTGTATGTGTTCCTATAGAAAAATAAAACAAAACAAAACAAAAAATCCAGAATATGCAAATCTTCCAGACTGTATTCACATCTGGCCATCTAATCAAAAAGGAGGGATGGAGTGGTTATTTCTGGTATCCTAATTAACAGGTAAAGTCCATTCACATCTTCAGACCTTCTTCTGTGGCTATGATGTCAGGCAAAGTTGTTGCCCTCTCCAAATGAAATATATTGAATAATGTCTCATAAAATGACTTGATTTCAAATGCCACAACTTCCATATTTAATTTCCAATTATCTTTTTTCAAAAAATGTTTAGAACCATGGAAAGGCCTACTTAATGCTTGCATGTCTTGTCTTATTTTTCATCTAATTATCTTATACAAGTGCTTCTTGAGATTTTAAATCCAATGGAAAAAATAAAGGAGTCATTGGGTTCCATTTGCAGTAGAACAGTTGCAGCAAAACTGCACAATTAAGGTTTTAATTCTGATCAACCTCTAAGTCTGTGTAGTGACAGCTGAAGTTAAGTGCAAAAATCTGTTTCAATTTGCCACACTGCATGGAAATGAGAAACAGCTCAACACCTACTGCCATGTCTATGAGCTGTTGCCCTACTAATAGTTTCAATAATCCTCATTCCTTCTGGTTATCCTGCTATTATTGATAAGGAAACCATATTTATCTTCATTTGAAAAGAGGGTTCTTTCATTGTTTCGGTGAAATTTTTTTCAACACAAAAATCATTGTGAAATACAAAAGGACTATGAGGAGAGGTTTTTCACTTGGTGATAACATTACAATTTTCTAACACTTGTGAAATATCATGAAAGAGTTTAGTAGTCTTTTGTGAGAACATGAGATTTTCAAGATTGATAACTCTGTATGTTCACAAACTTGTAAAGTGGAAGATATATTTTATATCTCCATATATCAATTCTAGTCCATACCTGTATTTATAAACAAGCAATTATTAAAAGAAGAGTGGTTACAATTTTACAGGTTTTCCTCTTATAGGACTGTTAAACCCATTCTCAAGTTATAGTGTGTATAGTATTAGTATCCCACTCCCCAAATATTTTAATACAAATAAAAGCCTTTTCTCCTGCAAAATCTCCTGTGCAAATTTCCTTCTATAGCACATATGCCAAATGTTCTGCAGTCTGGCAAAGGTTATTGCTGTCACTGCTGTGATTGTTCTGGGCAGCTGTGAATTTTGTCAGGTTAGAATCATGAATATGCAAAATAAGGGTGAAATTTGGCCAATTTTTCTCAGCTCATTTTCTATGTTTTCTATACGCCAACTAAGATTGAAACAAAAAAAAAAAAAAGAAAAAAAAAGAAAAAACCAAACAAAAAGAAAAGATTCTCACTGCATTTTGAAAGGCAGATGGGATTCATCAGAAGCTCCTTGGGGAGTTGTATCAGCCCTCCTCCAAGCCTCACTTATGACACTTCTCTGTAGCATAACAATTTTTGTACAGAGGCCATGATTTCTAGATGACTTAAAAAATTTCCTTTAAAAAGGCATTCAACCTAGACTTTAAAATTCCAGTGATAATGAACTCTTAAAACAACTCTTAGTTGTTCTAAGGGTTCATTATCACTACTACTAAATCAGAATAAAAAAAAAAGGAAAAAAGCAGAATAACCTAAGAAACTTCCAACTGTTAGATTTGCTTATGTCTTTGCTAGGATAAAAGCCTCTGCAGTCAGGAATCTCCTTTTCTTTCAGAAATTCACAGTCTATGATCATGGCAACTTTTGCCAGCTCCTTTATGTCACCAAAATAATTCTGACATGACAAAAGGAGTTTTTTCCTCCCCATTGAGCTACAATGGGGAGGAAAAAAATTGCGATGAAATTCAACTGTTTGCTACACACTACAAAGCTGGAGTGCTCGGTAAAGACCAATAAAGTCACTAGGAACTGTGTTTAAATTTGCCCCAAGACTATGTTTGATAGCAAATAAATGAAGGAATGAATGCAAGCAGCCAGGAAAGAACGTAGTGATTCATTTATGCATTTATGCCCACATCATACAGCTTTCAGTATGTTATATACAGTCCTGGTAGGCTGAACTCCCTGAGACATACAACAGGGAGATAGTGATTGGGGGATGATATTATAGACAATATCAACAGTCCCTCTAGTTTGGTACTTGACATTCAACAAGATTCAGAAGCTGTTCAAGCATATGGAAATTTCAATTCTAAATATAGAAATGAAATGCATAAAGAGATGTTTCTGTCTTACTCTAAAATATTTATTTCCTCCATTAGTCAGGATTATCCACAATTTCTGTAGATTGTTATCTGATTTCAAATACATTGCTATAAGTATTTCATAAATCCTTTAATATCAGTGTCTTATGACAATGAGTTTCACAGAATATAAAAGATGTGGGGAAAATTTGATACTTGCTAGACTTCTTTATCATTTTCTGTTATTTTGCAAGTTGCAAAAGGAATAAATATGGACAAATGATTTATTCTAATTACAAAAAAGTTTTTTGTAGACCTTCAGTACTTCTTTTGCCTTTTTTTTTTTAAATCTGACACATTTAAAAGTATTATTGTTCAGACATCTTCCTATATCTCTGCTTATTTTGGTGACATTTTCCAGACAGACATGGCTATTTCTGATTTTTATAGAAGACAGAAATAGACATGGGGAGATCAGAGCTGAAAATGTTGTGCAATGCCTATGGTTCATTGTGGGTCTTAAAATGACCAGCTGCAATCTAAGCTGTTATTAGGCTGGATGGGAAGAAGAAAATACTCATGCCATAGAAAAATTGTGTTCAACTGGATTTTACAAGATTGAACTTTCTGATAAATTATAACAAGATGTCTGTTGAGTTTACTCTTTTCCTTATACATTGCTCTAAACTTGTCCATATGAAATTTCATCTTTGTCATAGAAGTTTGTTGATTAAATCTTTCCTTCTTAAATTGTTCTTTGGCATTTTTAGCTATTTTAGATCGCATTATTTCAACAGTGTATTTTTGCAATTTTTCAGCATATTATATTTTTGTAAGTAATTAATAACTATTATAAAGATAAAAGTTTTTACTATATTAGGCTTTCAAGCACCTTCTGACTGTGAGGAAGAATGTCAGGAGATGGGACTATTAGTGGGACTAAATTTAGTGGGACTAAATTTTACAAAATGGTGGGTTATTTCCAACACCATTTCACTTTATTGACAAAACATTCTGTGTTTCATATCTTTGAAGATAAAACACGCTTGGTTCTTCCCAGTCTCACAGGAGTGTTAGATAATTTGGTCAATAGATGCAAAAAGACCCAGATCTAGCAACATAAGTGTAATTGGAAAAAAATAATGCTAAGTTGTACTTTTCAAACCTATGCATTTATCTTCTTCAAAATTTATTATTTTAAACCAATTACTAAACTATGCTGGAATTTAATTATTTACCATATATTTGTTTAAATTTCAGACATACACAGACTAGCTTAAATTTTACTTTAAGAGTTTGTTTGGCTACATTATTTATAATCACCTCTTCTGACTTACTTTAGTCAAGTTATCTAGCACCAAAGTGAAAGTCAGTCATTTTCTTGTGACTTTTGACTTTCTAAAAGTACAGAGTGTGTGTGAGTCTAGAGCAGTTCATTCAATTTAAATCAGCTATATATCTTTGGAAATATATCTTGGCGCTACCTGCATCTTTTGTAAAATAATGATTTCTGTAGTTCCTCACTCCATCATTAATTCATTAATTATTCTCTAAATGAAGCATGGATAGAAGACTATCACTGTTTTATTCTAAATGTATTCTCAACTCATGAAAGAAGTTTTTTGATTCCAGGGATTTACTATACAGTACATGATTCATCTTTTCTGAGTTCTGAGAGGATCTAACTTCTATTACTTTCCACAGATTCATTATCACAACAATCTCTCCAGCATGCATTGTACTAAGACTGATGAAAAGAAACCACAGTTTGTTTGTAATACACCTTTAGGCTTTCCTACATCACTTCCATGCTTGCAATTGTATACTCTTTAAAAACTAAGTTTTAGAGATGCTTTGTCTCCTCTAGTTTTTTTTGTAGGTTGGGTTTATTTCATTTTCATTTCTTATGAACAACTGGATAGAAAATAATTTTAACACTCACTACATGGATATTTTCTGTATGACTTCTTTTACTGTACTAAGCTTGTCATCCCTGGTTCAGTTACAATAAGTTTAAAATGTCTGCATGAAAGTCAAAAGCATTTTTGTTTCCCATATTCACTTTTACTACTCATTTTAAAATATCCTTTCTTCTGTCACATTGCATTTTAGGTTCTATTCATTTTCTAAACATCCTGGAATAAATTCCTGAAGTACTGAGTCTTACATACATACCACCTTAACTAATTTATTAGCTATATCAAAACAGAAATCAAGAGGTTTCTCTAAATATTTTTCTGTCTGGAAAATATTTGTTATCATGACTTTACCTACTCTTCACCTATAATAAAACATATTCTTTTTAATACAGTTGATGGTAAAACATAAAGATTCTTCTTTTGGTCACCTTCTATAATGTAGACACACTCTCTGTCTGGAGGATATTTGTTGGGGTAATTTGGAGAGGTGAAGATGCCTCCTTCTGCATATTTTGTCCAAGTTCCACACTGCACTGGTCTCTGTCCTTCGGAAACACTTTGCTTTTCTGTGAAATGATGACATTAAGCATTATATAATTAGCCCAAAAATTATCATGTATATGTGACACTTAGAACTCTTTTACAGGATAAATACAACATCCCCTTTTCTGTCAGTCACCTCAAACTTTTGTCTCTTGAGACTGAGTATGATAATTGATCTAGGGGAAAAGAAGGCTGTTTTTTAGGGGTACAAACATATAATTCTTACTCAAGATATGCTTTTCAAAGCAGAGGAGAGGTTTGAGTGTCTAGGGGAAAATAAATTTGCATTGCTTTTAAAATAATAACTGTCTAAGGAAAGCACGTGCTTGAGAATTGGAAGGCAGGAATTTCCCACTCATACCTCTCAAAAAGCTCAAGCATGTGCTCTATCAGCAATCTTCATGCCATAATACAGGAATACATCAGCCACAAAACTGAGGAAATAACCCAGAGAATTATGATCATATATAGAAGTTGTTTTAAATCTACAGCATATTTAGTCTATATTCACTGGACAGAGGTAGACAGGGGGATTCCTGGAATCTGGTTCATAGATTTTTTTTATCTCACTGTTTTCTGTAAAATTAATAAATAGCTCTGAGGCCAGGAATCACAGCCCAGAACTCTCCTCCTCCTAAGTGAATCCTCAGAGAGCAAGAGTCTTGTCTGCTTTCTTCCTAGCCCTGAATCTCTTGCATTTCTTTCTGGTTTGGGCCAGCTCAAGCTGAAGAAGATCAGGGATCCCTTCCTAAGCATCTTGCTTTGACAAGTAGGCTAAAATGAGGGGGATTCTTCAGAAGGAAATATATCTAGGCTGCTATTAAAGGCAAGGATAGTAGGTTCTAGACAGATGTTGCTCTGAATGAGGTTTTTAATAATCAGAGAGCTGTCCCATATAACTTAAGCCCCCAGTGTGTAAAGGTGTTTGAGTAAAGGTGTTTGAGACTCCCTCTTCGGATCAATGGATGAAAACAAGAACTTTCCAAGGATGATAATAACCATCTGAGATCTGACTTATACTATGTTTTTTCTTATATACTATGTATTTTCTTTACATTTCTTTTTCACCCTGGTCCATATCCAGGCAGAATATGACATGGAGCCTAATTTCCTGCAATAAATTCCAGCCTGCAGGGACTGTGCATTCAGACACAGGTTCAGACATACACTGTGCTTAGCAGCATTCCCTGCTAGGCTCTCCTCACACTGAGCATCCAAGCCTCTAATGAATCTCTTTCACTACTCCCCCTGCACAAGCGCACTCATGATACCAAATTTCAGGTTTTTAATTAATTATACTTCAACAAGAAAAAAGGTTTTAAGTGTAGGTATCTGAGTGCCCAAACTGGACTTCCCATTTTGAAAGTAGGAGTATTTTATAGCCCTTAGTTAGAGTCAGGCTGAGCCTGATGAGCACCCCTGGATTTTTTGTGTATATACAGTCATGTGAATACTCCAAACAAATGGACAAAGGGTAGACACTGGAAGTAAATGAGCTGCTAAAAATTTCAAAAACTAAACTAAAAACTCAAATCCATATTTTGGTCTCTAATAAATTTTCTAACAAAAATGTTTGATGTTTACATACCTGTTCCTTTTTTGGTTGCCCCAGACAAATGTAGGATGATTAGACTTGCTACAACTGAAAGAGAAATATGCATTAAATATCACAGAGTGATAGTTTCTGCAATCAAATGACTTGTACTCATATATCTCACAAGAACACAAATGAAATAGCATTGCTGTAAACAAAAAGTTTCATTTTACTTGAATCTTTTAATTGCACATATGGTATAAGCAAGTTTCTTCATGGCCTGTTCTTGTAAGTACTTATCTTTGCAAATGTAGGCAAATAAAGAGGAAATCTTTTGAGTTTAAAACAAAACCCACAGGCACTGATGTTCTCATCTTTTTTTTTCCTTTTTCTTTAATATTAGAGAAAAAACATTTTTACCAAAACCTATTTATATAATAATAGTTCATGTCAGTAGTAGAAAAGTGGCTGCTTTTAACAGAGGGAGACAAAATTTCAGTGCCACTGTATGTACTAATGTCTCTCAGTATGGCATAATAAAATTTGAAAATGAGCACTGGGAGTAGGAAAGAAGTGAGAGGTTGGGTTCTTCACATCCATCAAAGCATTTGCAAATCTCTAGTGAAGTAAATTATTGTGTGTGCTTAACAATCTCATTAATCTATTTTGACTTGTCGAGAGGGTGTTGCTTTTTTGCTGCAGTGAATCTGCAGCCCACTTTGCAAACAGGTATCTGCTGTCTCCAACTGTGATAGGACAACTGTGCCTCTTGGAAACAGATACAACCTTTCTGAAATGGACTTTGACCTGGAGATAAATGACTGGGTTTCTGGGAATTTCCAGATGTAATAGCTTGACTAGAAAAGGCTGAGGCAAACACTTAGTAGAGTAATAATGAGACTGATTTGTAAGATCAAAGTCACTAGCTAGCTACCTGATGAAGAAATCACACACTGCTTTTCTTGTCATCATTCATATCTTCTTTGGCTCTCAGAGAAAGTGGAATAGCAAGTGCAGAAGAGAACAGATCCATCAGTTCTTGGAGTGCTTAGGGCTTTGCCCCGGCTAGTCTGGCATCAGGCCCAATCACAGTGCCCAGGCTGCACTGACTTTAAGGTGGAAATGAAGCTGCATGCTTATTCAGAGCATTTTGGATCAGTCAGCTACCATTCTGTTGATGACTATGACGAGGAACTGATCAATTAATAAAAGTAATTGAATTACATACTTTATTCTTATTTTCCCTAAGAGACACTAAAAGCCACCATTGGCTAGTAGCTATGATCCTTTACAAGATGGTGCTTTCAACATTTTCACCTTTTTTATCACAATTTATGTGTAATTTTCACTCCAAAGGAAGCCATTCTCCATATTTCCAGCATTCTGATGGCATTGAGATCCTTATTTCTATGACTTTGACCTTTTCCATGTGACAAAGGGTTTGAGGCATGGATGATGGCTGCCCTATTAAGCAGGGTAAGATTGAAATTCTGGGAAAATGAAGGCTTGGCAGCAAATTCACTATTTCTTGTTCAGGCTCACAGCCTCTAGAGATGGATGTTGGCAGCACTGATAGTTAAAACTCTTGTGTGTCACGGGCATTCAGTGAGAACACTACACCTTCTGCTTGGATCTGAATGCTACCTAGCCATTTATGCCTGTAACTCTCCTCAGGGATGAATTCTGGAAACACAGGCTACTGGGACTCTGCCTGCCAACTCTGTCAAAATCCAAAGGCAAGGCAGGAGTCACCCCTTTACTGAGTTGCTCATTTCCTTTAGCTGTGTTTCATGCAGTGATCATAGTGCATCTATGCCTGTAATCTTCAGCAGCCTACACCTAATTTCTCAATAGTGCAAAGTGGATTGGTGCTCAAATGTGGAATCAGCTGCTGGTGTTCTGTCTGCCCATAAATTTGTGGAAGCTAGAATAGGACACACGATAACTGAACAAACTCCATGTGAGAAGTGTTTCTTTTAGGCAATTAATAACAAAATCAATGCATATCTGATTCTTACATGTTCATTTCAAGCATCTTTATCTATTAGGTCTCCCCTCATTTTCTATACAGATAAAAGTGAAGTTCAGAGAAGTAAAGAGAGTTGGTCCAAGCCACAGATATATTTTACCAAGACGACAAAAGCCCCACAGCTCTTTTCAGTTCCAGCTGTAACTGTTAGAAAAGAGGTTTCCAAACCACAAAGCCGTTTTCATAAAGCATAGAGCTTTACTTAAATGTCATTATATCAGTATTTGCTAGTAATAAGCTGTCAAAATAATCTTGATAATAAAGTCTAATAGACAAGCAGAGACTTAGAAACTAAGTGTTTGAGGGTTTTGGTTTTATTCTAGACATATAATACCTAACATTTGGATAGATGAAGTGAAACACTTCTCCCATGTTAAAAAGAAAAAAATAAAAAAGAAAAAGGATCTTGCTTTAGTGTTATTAACAACAGCACCAAAATACGCAAGTTGCCAGAAAGTAATTAAAATTGTGGTCTTCTTGGGAAAAGCCAACACAAATACATATTATTCAAGTAGACAAGGCAGACCATTTTATTCTATGATCCCACTGCACAAATGCACCCCTGACACCCAATTTGAGGTTTGAATTTCTCATGCCTTTTTCTTTCTCAAGCCACAGAAAAATAGCAGTGCTTTTCAGAGGGGGGGGGGGGGGGGAAACAAGACCCCAAAGGGACCAACCATGGAACCTTCACTCATTGAAAACTGTCACCTGGGAGGTGTTGGAAGCATAGCAACATTATTGCCATTATCTCGGTTTGGGAATTATTTTAAAGAAGTTTCCACAAAATTTCTTGTTGCATTCTCACTGTCTTCCCTCCTAATCACGGGTGTAATTATAATCGTGCTTTCTAGTGCCACTCTGATTACGCATCTTTCCATCTTTTTTGGATCTGTGCATTCTTTTTTCATTACAAGCTGTACATTAAGTGATTTATCTCTTGGCCAGGCTTTTAGGAGGCTGTGATTTGGCACAGACGTGGCTTAGCCTGGCGAAGAGTTGTTGGACAAGCAATACCTGGTCATAGCGCTATTGCACAGGTGTGGGCGCGCAGAGAAGTGCTGGGAGGAACTGGGGCCACTCAAGCCCCTTCAGAACAGCGGACCCTCCGCAAAACGCAGGCGGGAGAGGGAGTCCCACCTCGCACCTTGAGGCCCCTAAGGTCTCGGACGAGCAGGTGATATATTTCGGTGCCTCCTTGCTAATCCTGGTGGATTTCAACCGAAAGCGCCGCCCCCGCCCCGCGGCTCTCCGGGATCCGTGCCCGGTGCGGCCGCCCCCGCCCCCGCCGCGGCTCCGGCGCTGCCCCGCGCCCCCTCACCCTCGGCACCGCTTGGGGCCCCAGCGGGGGCAGCTCGCTCCCTCCGCTCTCTCCCGGCGCCGCCAAAGCCACCGGAGCTGCCGTGGTGCCCGGGTGAAAGCTCCAGCCCCGGAGCGTGCCCCTCCGCCCGCCCCACGGCGCTGGCAGACGCCGGCTCCCCTCCGGAGCTCCGCAGCGCTGTGCGGGAGAGGATGCGGTGTGGGCGTGGGGGAGTTCGCCCCTGGCCCAGGGAGCCTGGGCGTCCCGTTAGCCAGGCAGGTGCGGAGGCAGCGGAGGGCAGGAGCCCGTGCGCGGCGGCGGAGCTCGGTCGGGGGTGGGAAGGGGGAGATTGATACTCACTGTGAAAGAAGCTGCGCCCATGGGTCATGTCTGTTCCTTACACAAGGGGCTTCGGTCTCCACTAATTCCATTTAGATACGGGAGGACTTCCAGTGGCGGGGAGAGGATGGAAGTAGGAAAAGAAGAAGAAGAAGAAGAAAAAAAAAAGGAAAAAAAAAAAGCCCACACACACAGCAGAGCCGAGCAGCCTTTCCTCTCCCTCGCTCTCCCTCGCCGCCTTCAAATGATCACCGCCGGCTCAATCCCATCACAGCCGAGCGATCACCAGCACCGCCACGAGCGGTGCATCGCGGCGGCGGCGGCGGCGGGCAAGGCGGCGGCGGCGGCGGCGGCCCGCGCATCCAGGTGCCGGCGGGCGGCGGCGGAGCGAGCCGAGCCCCTAGTCACCAGTTTCATACAGAACCAAAAGCAGATCGAAGCATTTCCTGCAGGACTCCGAGCCCAGCGACTTCCAGCCCTTCGGCTTCTTTTGATGCATTGAAGAAGGGATTAATGGGTCCGTCATCAGCTCCCTGTGCTTGCTCCTCTGAAGGGGTGGGGGCGGGCGGGAGGGAACCCAAAGAGGAGGGGTGGGGTAGAGAAAGATTTACCAAATAGGGGATTTAGTCATATTTGTGTGCAATGAGAACCTAATTAGAGAAGAAATCCTTTAAAATAGAAAAAAATCCATTTTTGCAAAACCCTCTCCCTGCGCATAACACACTATCAAGTGGTAGCAGCGGCAGGAGGCTGAAAACACATTGCACGGTCTGAAATCCCCTTGAGAATGGATGGAGCGAGAAAGAGATGGATGAGGACAGAGAGATGCCCCCTCACTTCTCCAGTCCAGGGCGAGAAGCAGGAGAAAACCGTGGAGACTCTTCCATTCATTCAGTGGAGGGGAAGGGGAAAGGAAAGAGGAGGGGAAGGACGGGAGGGCGGCAGCGGTGGGGAAGGAATGATTTCAAAACTGGGAAAGGAAGGGTAAGAGGAGAAGGATCGCTTCCCCTCTCCTAATCAGTTCATGGATCAGACAGAATGTTCATGAGTTCCTCCTTGACCTGCACCTGCCAAAGGGAAATTGGAAAGATTTTCCCCCTTGAGAGACGACTTCTTCCTCTGCACACCCACACCCACGCACGCACAAAGACACGCACACACACGCACTAAAGGGAGCAATAAAAGTTTATCTGCTAATCCTCCGGCCGCAGATACAATGATTACCTCTTCCAATCAGCCCAGAGACGACTGCAAAATCTCTCCCTTTCTCTCCCGCCCTCCCCCCGCGTCTAGGACTTATCTTCCACCCGAGCTACAACCCATCCCAAACACCCATCCCTTGGACGAGATTGCGGAGGGCTAGTGGTCAGGGCGGGAGGGACGGCGGCAGAATCTAGTAGAGAAAGCATATTAATAATAAGAGTATTGAGAGGGCCTGAAATGGTCTCAATGAAAAGCAACAGGGGAGGAAGAAGGGATGAGCAGAAAGGGCTGTGTCCCCAGCCCTGCAGAGCCGCGGCACCTCGACTCCCGCAGCGCCGCGGCCCCGGCGCTCCCGGCCCGGGAGAGGGGAGGGCGGCAGGAAAGGACAGGGAGTGAAGCGCACGTCTGGGGCGGCGGGGAGGGACGCGGAGAAGGGAAGATTTGTGTCACAGGAGTGCAGGGGGAACAGGATGGGATCCCCCGGCTCCTCTTCACCGCTGTTGCTGCGGCCAGGCTGCGGGAAAGCCTCCGACCCCAGCGGGATGGGGGCAGAGCCGGGATACCCGGGATACCCGCAGCCCCTGCCCGGGCTCCCCACGCCGCAGCAGCATCTCGGAGGCGGGGTCGGCTCCGCTCCTCCCTGCCCGCACCTGATGCTCACGCCGTTTGCAACGAGAAAAGTGTGTCTGGAAGCGCGGCCGGGGCAGGGAGAGGAGGGGGGTGTTGGGAAGGAGGCTGTAAGTCAACTAAAAATGAAATGCAGCCCGGCATCCTGCTTGGCGCTGGTGCGGAGAGCGCGGCGGGGGGGGGGTGAGCGCAGGTCGGAGGGCAGCGCTGGCTGCGTGCCCGCAGGGCCGGACGGGTCTGTCCCGCATCCCGGACGGGTCTGTCCCGCATCCCGGGCTCTGCCGGCGGGCTGGGGGCTGCGTTAGCCTAGGCGGGAGGCACATTGTCTTCAGGGCACCTTTTAATGAGGTGGGTACCTTTGCTGCCTTTGGGACAGCACTGAGCAGCACAGCAGCTATTCTGGAAGCTGCATGATGAGGAAGCCTGGATATTTATTTATGATTTATTTATTTATTTATTTATTTATTTATTTATTTTTCCCAGTAAAAAAACATGTTTTAATAAAAAGCCTCAGAGTTGTTGTTTTTTTTTTGCAGCCTGTGGGTGGTCTGCCCCATACTCTGGAATGAAGACTGTATCTTTCATCAATGCTTAGGATTGCAGGCAGTCAGTAATAACAGCGTACACATTAGGGTAAGGCAGAGGTGATCTTGGCTAGCAGGATTCACCCACTCAACCTGACTGAGCTCTTAAAAATCCTGCAGGGTGAGCAGGGTGCAGGGTTTTGCTACAGGGCTGTGAGTAAGCTCCTTATAATAAGGAATATAGAAGATGTAAGACTTTGTGAAGGCATTCACGTGTTTTGTGTAATCCGTCTTGCCATTAGCAACGTCAAGTTTGCAGCTGTTAATCTCAATAAACTGTCCTACTCTGCTTTCTAACCCTCTCAGCACTTTCTCTGACCTTCCTTATTCTCATCCACACTGAGTTACAGAACTTTATTTGTAGAGTAATTGAAAGACTGCTGATTTATCCATAGGATAAACTTCTATACAGATGTGCAGTCTATCTTAGGGAACAGTAGAGTAACAGAAAAAAGGTTGTGTTGAAAATAGCCAAATACAAATGTTTATAGACAGTCAGATGTTTCTTCTGCAGGATGATGCAGACATCCATATGGCTAAGTTTCAAGTTATAGTTACTTAAATAAAAGGTAATAGAACAAGTAGGCACAAAACAGCTGATTTTGCTGTTCTGGGAAATGTGCTGTGTCACATAATACAACAGTGAGCTTCACATTTTTCCTTTTCTGGAACAGGATGTTTCCAGTTTTAAAATTCCTAGATCTTTTATTGTCACTCATAATTTTAAGGACACCTTGCAATAGTATGGAGAAACAGAAAGTAGTACATACCAAGTGTGTTTATGCCAAAATGTAATCAGTAACCATCATTATGGAGGGAGACATCCACAAAATAAATGAGGCATGACCACAATGGCCACTGAGTGTTCTCTTTAGCAATGAGACCTTAAGGAGATATCTCAGGATCTACACCATTGAATGCTAAAAGCTTATGCAAGTGTTTATAAGCAAGTACCCAGGGTTTGTAATTTAGACACTGTTCAAAATTGCTTTCTGCCTCAGTAGATATCACTTCTGTAGAGAGTTTGAAAACAACCATAAACAATTGTGTCAAATAGCATCTTAGTAGTGTTAGGAAGTCTTTGGATTTACTTGCTAAAAGTCCTATTGATTTTAAAATGAGTTTAAGGGTTTTTTGGATTTTACATTTTTCTTAGAGTAACAACATTGGCTTATTTTATTATATGGAATGACAACTACACTTTTAGATTAGAAATGTACTTTTATTAGTTCTATATTGGTTGTCAGCTGAATCTTGTTTTTAAAAATAAGCAAGAAAACCCAACACAATTATGTTCCTTGATTCAGTACATACAATGCTATTCTTTGTAGTTTTAAATCATCCATTACACTGCAATCTCTTCATATGGTGCATTTTGTCGGCCTCTCTCTTTCACATTCACAGCTGAATTTTTCTATTGATTTTTAGAGCAATATGTTTGAATCCAGAATATTTTATTCAGCAACACATGAAGCACTTCCTTCCTGTTGTCTAACATCTTTGGGCAAACCTAAGACACTGATCAGCTTGAGGATGGTTGGTTTGGCAGAAAGGAGATCACTCATTTGTAGACTAGTTTAAGCACTGTGAAACAGTTCCAAATTGAGATTACAAGATGAAAAAAGGTAAATAAGCATGAAAATAGCTAACAGTTTTCTCCAAAACAGTAGTGTACAATCTGGTATTGAGATTTATGTGAAGGCACTGGACAGTTTTCTTCAACAGATAGAAAAAAAAGCTTTTGCCTCTGAATTGTGTTATGCTGGTGTTTCAATGTCAGAAAAAGAAAATAAAAATTCTGCTTTGCTGTCCCCCCCTTTCTGTGGTTAGCCTATATGTTTGCATGTCAAAAGCAAAATCCTGGGCAACTGGCTATAAATGGCCCTGTCCAGGCAGGGATTTGGAAAAGACAATCTCCATAAGTCCCTTCCCACCCCAAACACTCTGTGATGCTTTGAGTCTGTAAACAGACAGTGGGTGACAATGGATCATAAAGTGGGGGAACAGTTTCAGTGAGAAAAAGAAACTCCTTAATATTCAGCACAGACTTGGCTTGCTTTCAGTTTAGTGTGTAAGAAGATAATATATCTCGATTATTTTCTCCTTGAACCAGAGGAGATTATTCAGTCTCTGTTAAAATGGTAAGTTATTCACAATTAAAAATTCTCCAGCATGGAGGAACCTTAGGTAAATTACTCCATACCTTTCTCAATTAAATTCTTTCTTGTGAAAGCAAAACCTGTCAAGCATTTGTCCATCCTTTCTTGGCTGCTTTGAATAGTCTTGTCTTATCCCAACTCTGCCATTGACAACTGTTCTAACTATAGCCTAAAAAAACTAAGGGAATTAATTCCTCCTTTTGTAGATAAAAGACTGAAAGGATTCAAAATTGCCACCAGTTTCTCCCACATTTTCAACCAAACATTCCTTGAACTGGAAGAAACAGCACAGTTATGAAATGGAGAAGGCACTGGCTTCCTTATTTATGGAAAGCAATCTATGCTTCTGAGTGTGGGAAGGAAGACATACAAGAGTAGTATTTCTCTTCTTTATGCCTTTTGAAAAAACATTTTGGATTCTATGCTGTCATGCGTAATCACAGATGCACTGTTTGCCACAATTACTTTGTGAATGATTTTTTTTTTTTTTTTTTGCTAGAATGTAGAAAATCCAAACTACAGGCTCAGTATAACACATACACAGTGTGACATTTGGAAACACTGAAATGAAT